AAAGCACCTACTATAATGTCCCTGTCATAGATAAGCATATTGTCAATTTGTCTGCTGGGTACCCAACATGTTATCCTGAGTGGGCTGACTTATCCAAACACCCCCTTATTGGCCCCTGTAAGCCATCTGAGCTTATTTCAAAGGCTATGAGGTGCATTATTGATAGTTGGTTGCTATGCCAGTGAAATTGTGCAATAGTTTGCTATATCTGTGTGCCACAAATGGGCTGGGTTTGCCTTAAATCAATATTGGTCCCTAACCCGAATCTCACCTCTGGTATTAACATATAGTTATTAGAAATTCATTTTTGATAAATTACACAATTTCAGTTCACTTGAATAAGTGCATGCATTATTTTTCTTTTTTTTTTCTTACAAAACAATCATGCAATTCAAAAATCCAGATTGCATTAATCTACAATGTACATAATTCTCTACTGAATGATTGACACATTTGCAATCTGCTGATGACACATACACTCACTTTGACCAATGTGTGAATCAATTAACTTATCTGAAGGATGTATTCACTTTTTATGTTTTATGTTTATCAAAAGATACACAGTTTAGATAATTCACCCAAGAATACAGTTCAGTATTTTGTATTATTAAACTCAAGGTGCAAAGCCTTAAGAGTTTTCTATCCATCTGCTTTCTTTCTGTAGTAATAATTTATGCAAGTCATCTGCCCCTCTGAATTTGTTTCACTACCTTGGGCATATGAGTGCCAAACCTGATAAAACATTTCAGAGAGTTCTGCGCATCAAAATCAAATCAGTTACAATTTATGAGCATTCAGGCAGTTAAAAATGCAAAAGGAAGCAGGTATGCACAAATTATTACTACAAAGATACATATAGGGATAATGAATTTCAAACCCTTAGGTCCCTTTGGTTTTAATGATAAAGATTAATTAAATATGTATTCTTGGGTGAATAAGCTGGGCTGTAGCTGAAATCATCTGTATTTTATATGATAAACATGCACTGTAATAATATTTATAGTTTTGTATAATAAAAAAGTGGAAGCATGACCTCCCATAACAGTAAAATAAAATATATACTTGCTCAGTGATCACTGCATGTTTGTAAATAATTGAGGACATAGTATGTTTACTGTGTCCCCAATTATGAATGAATGGCAAGTGATCTACATCACTTCCTGTTCATTCATGATTGTGGATATGGTAAACATCTCTACAAGTATGAATGAACAGGAACACTCAGTACAGAGGCTTCCTGTACATTTATAACAGGGGATACAGAAAAAGGGATTGAGGACTCTGTGTTCTCAGTTTCTTTTATTTTTAAAATTTTATTTTAAAAGGGAAATATCAGGCGTCTGTTTAGACCCCTGATACTTCCCTGAAGCCCCCAACAGTGAAGTAAAAAAATAAAAATATTTAATAAATAAATACAAAAAAGATAAAAAGGTTATAAAAAAAATTTTTTTTTAAAAATTGTAAGGTTAGAAAAAAAAACAATTCTGTTTCGGCCTGACATTTTTTTAAATTTCGGTTTTGAAAATTTGATTTCGGTGCACCTCTAGTATTATATAAAGTGCAGCACACCTAACTTACAGGTTTCCTCCTGCAAAGTTCCACAAATACTTACTGAGTCTGTAAGTGAAGTCCAACTAAAACAGCTTCCCTTCATGATGTGGCAATAAGAAGGAATGCTGTACTGCTCTGCAATTCAGACTCAGAGCAGACTTGCCGCTCTCATGTAAGCCGTGTAGGCTGTATCTGGTGGACTACAGTAGTCTGAAAAAATGTTGCAGGCTGTGTGGCTATTAGCATTGGCACTGCTGATGCACAATCAATAGCTTGCCAATTAGAACCTGACAACACCTTTTTTTTTGCTCATGGAAGCATGCAAAGCACAAGGAGGATTTGGCTCAGTCAGGGAAGGTAAAGGAATTTTAAGGCTTGTGCATAACTGGATTTAGTGCTTGATGAGAGGAATCTTTAGTTGTACTTTAATAGCATTCCCTTGAAAATGAATGCATCCCTCACCACTCTAATGGTCTTTATACACACTATAATAGAACAATAAAGCTGTTAAATGTAAAAAGAAACTTTATGTGCTGGACCAGTATATTTTATACATCCTTGCATTCTATCAAGCAAGCCTGTGTCTTTTAAAATACAAAAAACTTACAGCATCCCACATGTCTATTTGCATCTTAAGATTAACTACAAAAACACCAGGACAGGCTGTTATGAAGATTCCGACCAAAGTTTGTAAGGTTGTGCTTTGGCTACTTGCCCTCCCACCTCTATAACAACCGAGTACCCCTACGACACCCTGTTAACGGCTAAATAAGATGAAAAGCCTAATTGACCAAAATATAAGCAAGGCAGTTATATTTATTTCAAAAGGCCAAAGGTACACTTTAACACTTTGATGTTTATATTAAAGGAAGTTTTGCGGTCTTACACTTACACAGGCTAATCTAGTCACCATTAAACATAATTTCATTTTTTGGTGTTTTGAAATTGCATGATGTAGTCACCAAACATTCTGCTGTAACTTGATTGAATAATAGTTGAGCGGTATGGTAAAAGTTAAACCCTCTTGCATACTATTGGTTCATCATAAGAAGGTGTGGACAAAAGCCCCTCCTTTTAATATCAGTTCACAAATATCAACAGGGTGCTTGTACTGTATATATTGATGTCCAGCCACAATTTATCCACCCATACCTCGGTTACCAGTTTTCTCAACTTTAATAATTCCTCCTGTCTCTTTTTTTTTACTGTATATTTTATGTCTTTAATATCCTGTTCTTTTTAGCATTTTTTGAATAAAGCGTTGTTTCAATATTTACAGGTGTTTATTATACTGCTCAATTTCTGTGCATTATCGTCTAAGCATCTGGAACTATTCATGGGTATATATGAATTTGAACTGTCTCCTCATGTAAAAACAATTTCCTCTTTTGTATAATTCCAAGCCCAAAAAGTTAACACATTGTTTGTTGTATTCATAAGTGAAGTTAATGTCCCAATCATTATTGTTTAAGTGCTCCATGAATGTAACTAATTTAGTTTGCATTTCCATTCATAATAGAAAGCAGTAATAAATAAATCTAAACCAAATAATAAAAGAACTATTCGTACCAGAAATAATACACAACCTTTCCTATAATTCCATGAATAGATTCTACATGCTTATTGTGAATTTTGTGCTCACAACACTCCCTTTTTCTGTAAAAAATAAATGTCAGAAAATAAAAAATAGCTATGAGTTAGAAAATAAATTCAACAATTTAAAATTAACTCTATAGGGTCTAAACAACCTCTGTGAATGTTCGTTCTGTGTAGCTATATGACAAAACACACTTTTAGTTGTTTCTTTACAAGGGAATGCATTTTCAAAATATTTTTAATGTAATATTGCATTATGGCCACTAGCCAGCACTGAGGAGAATAGCAAATAAATACTCTTTTGCTACTCAGCTCCATTTAGTGTCCATAATGAAGTATGAAGATATGCAAAGCATGTTTGTTTTTGCCTCTATGTGCACAGGAAAAACCATTCACAGAGAATAGCAGGGTAATGGCTCTGCAAATGGTTTATAAATAGACCCCTAAAATGCTTATATGTGGAAATCTCCATAATTATCTGGTTCCTGCCGCTGTTTCTATGTCCATTGTATTCCTTATGATCCTTAACTGAGAAACCCTCCTAAACACAGGATATCACTGATAGTATTAAATACTTAATCTATTTGGAGTAATTCTTATTTTAAATAGTGTCTTTTACTTCCATTAGTTACATATTGATTGTTGTCAGGCATAGCTCCTTATTGATTGTTATCAGACATAGCATATTGTCTTCTATCTAAACTTTTGTCTCCTCTCCTAATGACATTATTGGTCCTGGCATGCTGCACTTTAGTAGTTTTGAGAAACCATTCCCAGTATACATAACTAATTCTACATTTTTACTCTTTTTGCATATTACCCCTTCTTCTGTGTCATTCTACTAAACATATACATATTTATATATATATAT